TCAGCAGGTGCCAAGCAATTTAAATATCAAGCAAAAATGTTCCTCTACTCCAAATTATTTGTACGATTAATTCATACCTAAGTGCTCATACTACTCTAAATAGTGACTTTTACTTTTTTACTTACTATTTTCTTTTTATACTATATATTAATGTATACTATTTTTTCTGCTTTGTTAATTTTTACTGGTTTTGGTATTTTAAGTGACTATATAAATCAATGGATTCCAATAATTGGATGTTAAAAGCATATAAAAATAAGAATAATAGTTTCATTTCCCAGTACTTTAAAATACAAGAGTCACAGAGTGTGCTAATTGCCTTTTATAATAGGGTTAGTTCTGGTTAGCACTTGCAAGGGGTCCATCAATAATCTGCAGGATTATAAAGGAGAAGTCAGTGACAAACCAGTTTATTTCTATTGTGAAAAAGGCTATTTGGCTGTGTTCATAAAATCACCAGGAGTTAGGGTTAAACTAGGAGACCTTATCTTTTAATGAAAACTGATCCTCATCAATTCAAGATTAATTTGCATTTATTTTAGCTTTCCAGCTGTAGTTATTTCCATAACCTAGGCTGGATAACACATTAACAATATATATGAAATGTGAAGTGTACAGATACATAAGTGGAGAAAAGTTTAAGAAAACTGCAAACCTCAGAGCTGCATAAATGTAAATCTATTTTCTCAGCCTTCCAGCCCATTTTCATGCTGTCAAATTTCTACCTCTTGTTTTTCTGGAAAGAAAAAGGAGCAGATGGGCTGGAGACAGAGAACAGGAACAGAAAACCAATAAATTTTCCATTCCAAGAACTTTCATTCTGGCTTTATAAAAAGTTATTTTGTAAAATAAGGGCTTCAGATTCTTGCATTGCTTATCCATCCTCAATATTTTAACTCTCTTTAGCATGTCACTTATATTTAGTAACCCATCCAAGTTATTGTAGTTCATTATGATGAAGTGTGATAATAAGGCAGTAGCAACTACTATTAGATTCAAATTTGTAACAAAATTAATAGTTTCTAATAAATTTGTAAAATGTACCAGACAACCACTCTATCAGATTCCTTTTTGTCCTCCCTAACCTCACCTTTACCTTAATAGCAATCTGAGGACTCAAACAAGGTATTTGTTCTTCCTCTGAGCTTAAGAGGTTCATCTCTTTAGCATGCATCTCCTAATCAGTCCACTTGAACCATGAGTCATACTGCAAGATTATTCAGCCGATTAGAGAAAATGGAAGATATGGTCTTCAAGGATGGAAAGTCCACATCTACCCAATAAGACTATGGCTGAGAGTTCTGAGAGTTGAAGTCTACACATCTGAAAGTTATTCAATGGTCTGACTTTATGATTTAAATGTCGTTAATGATGATGGTAATGTTATCCATCCAGTCTTGTCCAATTCTTGGCGATTCTATGGGCCAGGTTTCTCTACATCTTCTGTCTTACACTAGTTTTCCGAGTTGTTCTATGCTTTGGCTGGTGTCAGCTTTGATGGTGTCCAACTACTGTGTTCCTTGGTGGCCTGGTTTTCTTTTACCACTAATTCTTCCAAGTATAATTGCTTTCTCCAGTGAATTCCTCTGCATGACATGGCCAAAATATTATCTGCCATCTGCTTTGATTTTTATTTTCACATATGCAATGTACATATGTGAGGAAAAAAATGCATTTTTCTCTCTGGAAAAGGCATAATGTGGGCATTTTAGTGTCCCTCGTTTGTGTCCCACAGAATTTGGTAATCAGCCAGATGCCCAACTAAGAAATAGTAGTACAAGATTGTTAGCTGGAGCTGGTAACTGGATGTAAGTAAATAGTTCCATAGAGTGAAATAAGATAAGACAAACAGAATAACCAAATAAAGTGTATGAAAATAAAGTTCTACAAAGTAATTTTCCTTATTCCTTTGCTTTTCTTAGTAACTGTGTGTGCTTATGTTATATTGTATTTTATGAGTACATATAATTTTTCCAATTATAAAGTCAAAATAATGCAATGTTGTCTGAAATATCTCATATAAAAGCCTCACAATAATATTTAAATTAAATATAAAGCCTTTAAAAGTTAAATAAATGAAAATTGGTCCCATCTCTCAGCATAGATTTATTGATCCTCTGTCAGAAAATAATCAATTCTATTTTATGAATACTGGTAGACCTTATTCATTTTTAAAAGTTACTTTTATAAATCTTGGAGTGTTTTCTGTGAAAATACTGTCTATTACAGCAATATAACATTTTTTGTAGCTGATACATTGCAAATCTACGTATTCTTGAAAAAACATCTTTCTCTCCTTACACTATCCTTTCCAAGCAAGTCTGGGAAATTACAATAGGCCAAGCCAATTATGGTGTGTTAACTATAATATTTGTCCTGAAATTGCAGTCAGTTGCTACACTATCTTCACTTTTTGAATGATCTAGTCAGTCCATAATTGCAGCTGTTATTGCTTAAAATTATACCTAAATTGTCCCTTGCTTTCACGTTTTGATTGTCATCATCCAGATAGTACATTCTCCATGGGCTTACCCAAACTTGATGATTACCAGATACAGACAATAAAATCATCTGCTGTAGATAAGAATACATATTTATTTTAATGAGGATGATATATTTATCTGTGAAATAAACCCATCAAATATTCAGACACTATTTTTTAAATGTTATCCTTAAGAAGCTATTGTAACAAATTGCTTCCAGTGCTTTGCTAGCAGAAAGTAGTTTTGAATTTTAAAATTTCAGATGATTGAGAAGATATATTTGGATCTTCTATTACATTGATCATTTAATCTAATACTGACTTCATTTTTAAGACTCTTGTGTCAATATGTCAAAATCTACTTACCTTAAATAGTAATGAGGATCTTTTGCAATCTAGCAAGGACATACCATTTTATGAAAAACTATCAATTCCTTAATTTTGCAATAGTGATTTGTCATTATATGAATATATTCCCTCAGTTGTATGTTGGAATACACCCATATCTACTTCTTCTAATTTTTCAGTATTTATGTTTAATTTGCAATAATTCACTTAATTTTCCTCTTTGAGTACAATTCCATTGTTCTCTGACATGTTTAGATCCATACTCCTTATTTGCATTCTCTGTAAATCACTTGATCCCTCAAATGACAAAATGGTGTCTGCATAAAAAAATACACACATTTTCAAATCTTTCACTCACACACTTGTGTCATCAAGAAAAGGTTAATATGTATTAATCTAGCCTTTCTCAACTGAGCTTCTGTGGAACTCTTGGGTTCCAGGAGAGGTCACTGAGGGTTCTGCAAAAGATAATGATAAAAAGAATAATAAACATTCTTTCTGAACTTTGCTCACTGTGGAATGCTAGATATAGATACCACTTTTCTGTAAAGATCCACTGAAACCTAAAAATTATTTTGAAATGTTCCTCCAGAATAGAAAAGTTAAAGGCTATATTAATCTTTAAATACATCAAATTCCTAAAGAGCATTACACATCTTTGCCTTACTCACAATTCAATTTAGAACTGTCAGCTAAAGTTTCCATTTATTCTCATGCATGCTTAACTACAGGTAGTCCTCAACTTACCACAATTCATTTAGTGACTGCTCAAAGTTACAACGGCACTGGAATAAGTGACTTGTGATTGTTTTTCACACTTATGACCATTGCAGCATCCCCATAGTCAAATGATCAAAATTCAGAAGCTTCACAACTGACTTATGCCAGTTTCATTGTCTTGGGATCATGTGGTCCCTTTTGTGACCTGACATGGAAAGTCAGTGGGGAAGCCAGATTCACTTAACAACTGTGTCCCTAACTTAAGAACTGCAGTGATTCACTTAAAAACTGTGGCAAAAAAGGTCACAAAACTCACTTAACAAATATATCAGTCAGCAACAGAAATTTTGGGCTCAATTGTGGTCTTACGTTGAAAACTATCTCTACCAGTATATATTCATTTTATCAGGATTCACCAACCAATCTTCAACCTCATATTTGCACGGAACAGTCTGTTCAAGTCTATTATCTCTAAATCAGCACATGCATTAATCCTTCTTCATTTTATTAATTTCTCAACAATTTGCTGAAGAGTAACAAATTGCATTAAAAGACATAAACTTTCAAAATCTACAATTCGCTTCACCAGATACATGAAGTGGCTTAACCGATAAGAGATTTAAATTGGTGTGAAGCAGGAGAATAGAAGGGAAAGGAAAACAAAGTGATTCTTCAAAGCAGGATATAAATACCCTATGAATTAACAGTTGTAATGTGTTTTTAAATATGTTTTTGTTGAAATGGCCTGGAACCATTTATGTGTGTGTGTTTCTTCAGTACTGTAACTTAATTTTGCTGGTAAAGTTTTTTTGTTGCAAAACAGCTATTTTGAATTCTGAAATAATTGATACCCCGGGAGCTGAAATACTTGTTTTGAATCCTGATGTGAAATGTATATCCATTAACTCTTTTTCCACAGGCTGATCCATTAACTATTTTAGTCAACTGCTGTTTTGCCAAGAGTATGTTCACACTATTTTATGCAAAGTAGGATCGCTGATTTATAGACTACCTTGCAAACCAACGTTCTATTGTCAGCATCCCACCAAATAGGAGGGATATAGAATATACTACTACTCAGATAAACTTATGTATGTGATAGGAAAGTTCTACTCTCTTATTAAATTTACTGTAATGGACTACAGCAGATTCCTAGGCAGGAGGGAGATGGATTGTAGGAAAAGGAAGAGATTTAGGATAACAATTCTCTAGAATCTCCCAGGATATAGCCATTAGGTGAGGCCTTTATAGGTTTAATCTGGCAAGATTCTATCTATATGGTATATTCAAATAAAGAACTTAACTTTGACTAGAATCTCAAATTATTCTTTAGATAGGCCTGACACTTATTAATGTAATGAATGTATTAATGTAATGAATATATGTTATAGATTAAAAAGTGTAAATTAATGTTTCAGGAAATTGAAATTTCCTTTTATCTGTTTTGTAGACTCAAAATCGCATGAAACTGATGGCAGATAATTATGAAGATGATAATCTGAAATCATCCCATTTCAATCAAACTAATCATAAACCCTCCCCAGACCAGGTAAGATTATAGTTACTCCTTTTTTTTAAACTAATCTGTTACAACTGAAATATGCCCATTTTTTAATTTTATCTAAGACCAGTATCAGTTCATCTGAAATAGAATCGAAGAACCTGTTTGTTGCAATTATATTATGATTTTCCTTTTCTTTTATAAAATTGGAATTCCCACTAAGCAAATCATTAGATTTCATTGTTTCAAAACTCTTTTTGGGACTGTATTGGTGGACCTATTGTTCTTATAATAATAGAGTTTAGCTTTATTATGATGACTGACAAATTGTATGACTAAATAAATAGCTAAATTAATTAGCATTTACTTCAAATAAAAGAAAATATAAAATTGTACTAGATCATTGAGGTAATCAGAATGTAGTGTTACAGACAGTATAACAAAATGTTGCCACATTCAGGGAAATAAAACCAATGATTTGATAAAAGTAATTGTCGATAAAGTAGATCAGAATTTTCTAGACATTTCATCAAATCTTATATGTGAGGACTGTTTGGAACTGACATTTCCTTTGGAAATGTATATGCTCAAATAAGATCTGTTTATTCTAAGGGAGAGATTGGCTGTCTTCCCCATAGCAAAATCTCAGTTTTTACAGTAAATGATCATAGGCCCCTACCTTTAAAGTTTAGTAAAATTTGATTTAAAAGAAATTAATTTATAATTTCTGATGCATGGGCTAGCTTTCTATATTGCTGACTAAACTAAAACATGATTTAGATGATATCAGATGGCTTAGCAAACACAATAGTTACTGCAGGAGAACTTTCTAACTAGAAAAACATTAACAGTAAATATAAGATGGCCAGCTTACTGAAAATATTAATACTGGCTCAAAGAAAACTAACAACTCACGGATTTTTCCACTATAGTTCTCAATGGCCTGGGGAGATTAAAGAGGTTTTAGCCATTCTAGTTGATAAAATATGCTATAATGATATTTAGATTATCATGAATAAGTAAATTATCCAAACATACAATGATTCAGAACAGTAGAATAGAAAAGTATGCTAAAATAGTGCTCCCTTTCCTATTACATTATTCCTTTGAATGATTTAAATACTAACCAGATCTTTATTTCATTCCCATGCTTCTTTGGTGCTTTTCCCCCTTGTCTTCTTTCAACCAATAGGATGAGGAGGAGGGTATTTGGGCATAGCCAATCAGATGCTCTTAGTTCAGCCATTTTGTTCAGAACGGTGAGAATTGGCTTTATTTACCAGTAGAAAAATATCCAATGATCACTCTTGCATCTTGCTTCTGTGTGATTATGTGGTTTAAGTATCTTTCCTTTCCCTTTTTAATGTGGTATTTGCATGTAGAGATTATTCCTACTTTTTGTTGTAGCTGTATTATTTTGTAATTTGTGTTAGCTTTAAATTGTTTTGTGAGAATACTCTCCCAAAGCATGCAGTTGGATTTACAGCAAAGCAACAGCATGATTCATGAAGGAACAAATGCTTCCATTATAATTTAACAGCACAATTTGAACATGGTTTCCAATATTTATGTTTAGAAAACTTCTCTGACAAAGTTGTATATTCTATCTTTTATTCTTAAATTACGCATAAATAAAAATATTTTATTTCCACTACTTATATTATAATTCATGACCAAAATGAACTATGCTGTTGACATTGCTATATGTAAAATTATGTAAAAGGTTCATTATAGTAAAATTAGATTGGAAGATTCATAATAATGCACCAGATTCTGTGTACACTTTTTGATTTACTAAATCTATGTATTGTAACTCTAATCCAGACACACGAGGTAAAATTTTAATAAGACAATCTGAGAATTAAATAAGTAATCCCCTTCATACAGAAAATTGTTTAATTCAAGCTTCTTTGTGATCTCATAGTGTTTGAAGATGCTTTTTTGTCATGTCTCTATATGTATAAATGGTTTGTAATAATAAGTAAACTATATTGTTGAAGAATGCTAATGAACAGGAAGAGATGAGGTAAGTTAATTAGTTCAGATACATTTTTATTGTAAAAAGTAAGTTGCAGGCAGGGTTTCATGAATAATGAGAAAAGTGCAGTTGAAGGAACATACTCAGATTCTAGTCTTCCTTTCGACATGGAAGCCAAGTCAGTGACTTCGGCCTAGTTACTTTCTCTGAGCCTTCATCCACATCAGGCTATAAAACAAACTAGCTGATGCACAAAACATCATACACTGAGAGCTTTGAGGTGAGAACTAGGGCAAGCACAGGGATAAAAACAAACATATCCTGCAACTCTGTGAGACCAACGCTAAGAACAATCCTATAAGATACATTAATGGGGTTAATAAATTTCAGTACTTAGCACAGTTAAAATTCTTGTCAGCATTGAGATTTAAAACACATAACTGAATAATATCTTGTAATAGTCCGTTTCTACAATTTGCTTTGAAGCAAGTTTTTGGAAATTCAACAGCAAGTTATATTGAAAAACATTTAAAAGTAGACAAATGAAGAAATTCTGCTAGGGCAGAATCACTTTTTTTAAGGTAATGAAGCCTGTTAAAAAATATTCCTACCTCTTGGGAAGGACCCCCTCATTGATAGATGCCCTAGAAGGCATGTAGGTGGTGCAAGGACCTGAGATCTGGTCCATCAGCCCTGTCTATTTGGCAGGTGCTTTTGTATCCTCTCAAGATAAGCTCTGCCGCTGTGGGAAGTGGTGCAGCTCTTGCTATAAGTGGTCAGCTCAAATTAGATGTGGGAGAAGTCTAGAGATAAGACATACTTACTGGTGAGGCAAATGAGTCCCAAGGGAAATAAGCAAACTCTTCAGAGAGCTCTGCAAGGCTCCAAACCAGCAGGGTCAGCACATTTCAAAAGTAAACTATATTCATCAAATTAGGAGGCTTCCCACAAGTGATAAAGAAGTTGATAATAATAACTGAAAACAACTTCTATTAGTTATTAATATAATCTCCTCTCCATCTACAAAGGCAAAAGTGAAAGACGCGGGAAGTATTTAGGCAAAAAGTTCCACTTTCAGATACGTAGTGTGCTTTTGATATATTGATATATTTTAGCTCTCAACAAGAACATACTCTTGTGGGAGAGTATGTTCAATCTTTTCAACAAAAACATGTTTGTTTTCCTCGTTTTCATCAGTGAAGACCTATTCAAACACTCCCTTGTATTTTAATTTTTCTTCTGTAACCATAGACGGTTGATATTTTCCACCTAGGTTCCTTGTGGTGTTATTCCATGCTGCCTCTTTAATACAGCGCTAAAATGTTAATCCCAATGTTGTACTATAAACAGGGTTCTACCAGGGAAAGGATTTTGACACCACTAATCTAAAGCTTTCAGCTCCTCCTATTGCATGGCCATTAATCCATTCACAGAGTGTTGGAAACACAGCAAAGGAGCCAGAACAATTGTGTATTCATCGACACTGTTGAAAGTAATACCAGCACCTGTTTCTGTTGACTGAGAGATTATCACACTTCCACATTCATTATTAGGGTTAAAGGGTATAGTTGGAAAGATACCTTATGCTTGCTGACAAGCAGCAGGTGCAGCCATAGTTCTGCTTGCAGTGAACATTTAGGCAGCCAGAAGTTTGCCATTGGTGTTCTTTGCTGAAGTTCTGTCAGAAATTTCATTTCATACTGCCTAATGTTTCATGATTAAAAAGAAATGTGGCTCCCTGCATTTTTCAAAACATTTGAAAATGATATTCTAAGATACAGTAGTTTGGGGGCAGGGAGTGGGGGGGTTGTATGAAATGTGAATTTCCTAAAAGTACTTTTTAGTTAAAGAAAAGTGTCTGCAAATCTCCTGAGACTGGAGCCACACATACCCTTCCCTTGCCCAAGTAGTTGGTGATTTCTCTTGGCTTTCCTCCAGTTTCTTTTATTAAAGTTCATTAAACATTCCCTTTGTTTCTGTTTCAGGGTGTGATTGAATTATTTTCTGTTGTTTTAGGTAATTCAGCCTCTTTTAGACCTTGATCAGAATCGTAGCAAGTTGAAGTTATATATTGGACATTTGACAGCCCTATGCCATGACCGGGACCCTCTGATTCTCCGTGGACTCACTCCTCCCACATCCTACCACCTGGATGAGAATCGTGCAGCTTGGGAGAAGGAGCTGCAGAAGATGACTCTGGAGCAGGTCAGAGTGATGCTTTTATTGGGGTGCTTAAACTGGGAGCAGGCCATGTCAGTTCCTTGGTTCTGTCTGAATTTATTTTATTTTCTAAATAAATGAAAGTGTCCAGTTTTTTTACTTCAGGGTATAAAGGGTACTTCAAGGTGGAGGTACTGCTATCCTTAAATAATAGGAATTCAGAAATATATTGTCAGTGCAGGATTCAATGATAGAATTTCATGTTTCTTTTAGCAGAATGGATAGAAAAGCCCCCAAATTGAGTACGGTCAGTTTAACCCATATTAGACTAAATAAAATAATATCTATTAAACAGAAAAAAAAATTTGTGAGGACATTTTATATCAGAGTGTAAAATCACTTTACTACACAACTTCCAAGAAATCCTAGCTGATCTATGTCACATTGCCCTAGGCATGCCCAAAGACCCAATTAAATTTTTCCTAGGCCCGCCCTAATTACAATTAATAGCAGTTTATAGAGAGTAAGATAGCTTAAAAGCCTGAGACTTGTTCAGCTATTAATCATTATATCCAGACAAGGCTAAAGTATACCCTTTTTTTATAAAATGGATTCCAAACATTTCTGGTGCTTAAAGTATAAATGAGAAAATCTGCCCTTGAATTAACCTGAAATAGAATCTTCAGTGTGTTTGTATTGAATCTATATAAAAGGGATTTGTAAGTGATCTAGAAATATGCTACTATTTCATTTCAGCAAAAAATAATATTCTCTTTATAAATCCAAAATATCCTACTTGGTCAGACTGAAAATTACATCAAATCAGTATTTTTCTTCCTGCTTTTGTAATCTAGAAATTCTAGATAGTATTTTTCTTATTCTATATATGAAAAGGCTTGCTTTCAAGAGGTTTTTTTTGTTAAAATATCTAAGTGAAACCTCAGCAATATGTCATGAACTCAAAATAGCATAAAACACAATATATATTAAGAGGTTGACAGATAAGTATTAAATCTGGAGTCTTCCATTGAAAAATTATTGTATGGCTAAAACAATTTTGCAAGAGTAAACCACTTGTTTGGATCTTGAAGAATGGACATGGATCCTAAAAATACATGTGCACATTTATTTTGCTGATATAAGCTTTATGTTTCAGTTAAATTTCTTCATTCTCCTCATAACTGCTAGATAACTAATGATGTGGAAAGTCTGTTTCACCCCAGATTCTTGTTTCTTTTACTTATTGCAGCAAAGCTTCTGATATGACTTGATATCTTTCCAGGGTATATATGTTTTTCAATGCATTTATGTATTTGTTTGATTTCTATCCCACCTTTATTTATGCAGCTGAAGAAAGCATTATATAGTGCTGTACAAATAAAGGTGGGATGGAAATCAAATAAATACATAAATGCATGCAAGAAACATACATACTCTGAAAAGATATCAAGTCATATCAGAAGCTTTGTCCTGCTTTCCCCAGAACAATAATCCTCGGGGATGCGTTGGGCTGAAAGAGAAGGAGTAGCCCAAAGTCACCCAACTTTCCATGACTGTCTTCCATGTTCTAGTCCAGCACCTTAACCAACAAATTAAACTAAAAAAACTGCTTGTTTCTCTAGCATGCATATTTGAATATACATATATAACCATGTATTATATTTGCATACTTAGAAACAACTTTTGTGACTTCCAAGCGCTTGATTATATTGAATCTTTCTTTTACCATATTATATACCTAGTGCTGCTGGATTTTCTATTATTAACTGTGTGTATCCCGAATATCTTTTTTCTTTGTGCTTCAACATGACTCGGTTTAGTAACTTAATTTAAATCCTTTTCTGTATCATTCTTGATTTAGTCCTGAATTGGGAAATTCTGGTCCAAGGAGTTGCTATGATCAGTTAGTCAGCATAAACGTCACCTTATCAGAATTCCTTTTGTATACTTTGGTGGAAGAAGGTTTTGATGCTTTGTAGTTATTACTGCTAAACTAATAGGAGAAAAAAACATAGATTTGGTATTAGAAAAGTTATATAATTTTTAAATGTATTAATTATTATCACAGCAATAATAAAAACAGAAAGAAAAGGACAAAATCTTACCCTGTTCATCAGAAAAAATATCTAAAATATATTTACCCAGAAAATATATCTCTTTTTTTCCAACTTCTGACAAAGAATACATCAATAGTCTTTTGCTACAGATGTAAATTTCTCTGGTATTCTATTTTAATTCTTTTAGCCAACCCCGCCCCCCCCCCAAAAAAAAATCCACAATGCTATGTCCAAATCCTGATAATATAAATAATAAGAACATACACATGTATAATACTAAAGGAAAAAGAGAGATCTGAAGAACCCAGAACTTGGAACACAGTCTCTTGCATAGAGTAAATTTCAGATACATATCTATTTTCACTTTTCTTACAAATAAAGCTTGCTGTGGCCAGAAATGTTTATTCCCCGATGTATATCCATAGTTGGTTCCTTATTAAAATCCACCCTTCCTCAAGTAATGTCAGCTGCTACCACCTCAGAATTCATGAAATAATACTTCTTCCTGACCTCTAGATAACTGTATTCTTCAGTTACTTGAATAAATCAAAACATCTGTTAGCCAGTAACATAAAGCAGAACATTTAAGCATATAGATAATCATATTCTAATCCCTATACAAATATGTAACAGATAAAGACATAGGAATCACATTATTCCAAATCAGTACTCTGTTACACCTTTTAAATCATGTTTGCTTTCTATATCAGGAGCTCAGTTCCATTTTGTTTATTTTCTTATATTGAACATTAATGCATAGACATTGAAGGCTGTGAACGTAATGAGCCAGTGTTCCAATTTTTTCATTAATAGGCCCCATTAAAACAATACCCCTCCTTACTTCTCAATGTGTCCATATTTATCTGAAATCTGTATGTCAGGGCTCTGTATCTCCAGAAGTCCAAATCCTTCTTAATCAAGCTTGGCCAAGGTGTCTAAATAATCAGCTTTTTTGCTAGTTCCTGGTACTCCACATTCATTGAGAGCCTTCACTAAAGATGCCATATTTTCATCAGCCATAACTTAAAATTGGTCAAAATCATAAATGTCTTTGCATAAAATACTGTGGTCCCTCCATCTTCCTTGGCTTTACTTTAACTATGCCAGTTTTTCAATATAGAAAAAGAAACAATAGGACAGGGATGGTAGGCACGATTGGTGCACTTATGCACGCCCCCTACGAAATATTTATGAATGCCATAAAAAGATTATACATGTGGAAATATATTTTAAACAGGGTGTGCAGATATTTCATATTTCTTAACACTGTTTCAAGTATCAAATTTGAACAAAATATTTAACGTCAGTAGAAAATATACAGAAGCTACCTTGTACAGTTTTTAAATATACCAGAAGTTAAATCAATTTTGAATTCAAGAATTTTCTTTTATGGTACTTCTGTTTCCCTACAATAAAGATTTATAAATTTATTTTAAGTTTCCAAAGAATTTTATTTATTGGAGGCCTGATAAGCATTCAGATTAATGGATGCATCTCTTTCTACCTCAAGTTCTGAAAGTCACAGCTTGCTATTAGGTTTTAAAGAAGAAAAACATGTAAGAAATTAAATTCAGAGAACGGACAGAAGTCTGCATGAATTGATGGTAGTAGAAAATTGGGTTTGATGGATATACATTAAAATTCCATCAAAATACATATCCCAGAGAAACATCCTGGATTTTTGGACCAGTTTATTATTTTTAAGACATAAAAAGTGATGTTTCATGTGGTATATGTGTGACAACAGAACAATTTTTCTGTCCCTGGGAATGAATTGTCTGAATGTTGTTCCTTGAATTTGGAGCATAGCTAATATATATTCTAGGGAGAAATTGGAGAGATGATACTTGGCTGAAAGACCACCAGGAGTAAAGAAGGCATCAATAAACCTTTTTATTGTTATACTGATGCTATTTGCCAAGAAAACAACATGGGTATATCCATTAAAATAGTCATCAAGAGTCAAACTTGACTTGATAATGTTAATCTTAGAAAAAATATCTCAGGCAAATAACAACTATTTCTGAACTTCAAATGGTTCTTGCATGGAGCTGATCTGAGTTCACGGCAGCATCTGGAAATGTGTTGCCTTTTAGACAGAACACTAGAGTACAAAGGAGCTCAAACTTCTTAATCTAGTTCGTTTTTTAAAATGTTTTGCAAATTTTTGTTCAGGTGTTCCTCGACTTACAACCATAATTAAACCCAAGATGTTTGTAGCTAGGTAAAATAGTTAATTGAATTTTCCCCCATTTTTCCCCATTTCCCCCCAATCTTTCTTGCCACAGCTGTTAAGTGAATCATGGCAGTTACTAAGTCAGTAACATGGTTGTTAAGTGAATCTGGCTTCCCCATTGACTTTGCTTGTCAGGAGGTCACAAAGGGTGAACACATGACCCCGGGACACTTGCAACCGTCATAAATATGAGTCAGTTGCAAGGTGTCTGAATTTTGATCACGTGACAACAGGGATGCTGCTTCAGTCGTAAGTATGAAAAGCAGTCGTAAGTCACTTTCTTCAGTGCTGTTGTAACTTTGAACTAGGGCAAGTGTAGCAAATTGAGGACTACTTGTATCTAATGCAAGGGTCTGAAAACTTGACAGCTTTAAGACTTGTGGGCTTCAACTCCCAGAATCCCTCCTCCAGTCATGTTAGCTCAGGACTTCTGGGAGTTGAAGTCCACAAGTCTTAAAGCTGTCAAGTTTGAAGCCCCTTCATCTAATGGATCAAGGAGCTGCAGTTGATTTCAGTATATATTCAGATTATACGATTGCCTCCAAATAACATGGGGAGGGCCCTTTTATTTATTTTTTAAACACCCTTAAGAGGGAAAACTGAATCTTGATTTGGCCATGTAATGAACCCGAGTGTAGGGACTGAACATTTTTTTCTTCTTCTTCCTTTCCTTGCAGCTTCACAACGAGTTGGAAAAGGCCGAGAAGGACAGCGCAGAGCTACAAGAGTTTGCGAATGCCATTCTCCAGCAGATAGCCGATCACTGCCCAGACATCCTGGAGCAAGTTGTCAATGCACTTGAGGAATCATCGTGACTGAAGCCAGCACTGCTTCTCCAGAGCAGCCTGCCACGAGGTCAGGCTCTCCCAGTTCAAGGAGTCATGAGAATAATAAAGCATATGAAAAGGGGAGGAGGGGGAGGAAACACTCTTGGTGCACCTTTTTATAAACAAATGAACATAAACTGGTAATTCCTCCAGTCGATAATGCCTGCATTCATCTTCTTACTGCCTTTCTCCATTGGAATATATGCCGTTCCCGTTGGCTCTGGGATGTGTCCGCTCTGAAATTTGCCAAGACTAGAAAGTGTGACGAGGCACTTGCCTTTATTTTACTTTCCAAGTAATGAACATCTTTGGCCTGTGTGAGGAATTCAATGTCCTCTAATAGTGTCTTATAATGGGCCAACATCCATTTAGCTAGGTTTGCTGCTTATGTCTCTACAAGAGGATTGATCCTAAAGGAGAGGTGGGAAGTGTCCCCCATTCTTAGTGATGCATTCTGTTAAATAAGCACAGGATACGTCCCTGTGTTTTCTTTATTGTTCTGCTTATTGTGAGCCTCATTTTTGTTTACCAAAATGAGCTATGAAATCTGGTGGCTGTTTTCTTCAGCTCATTTTCTTGGTATTTTTAGTCAACTTTAGTATAACACTATTGTTGCATTTTTGATTGAACTGTGCCCCCCCCCCTTTTTTTTCCCCCACTTCTCTCATTTTATCTGATTTCTGGGTTCTTAGGGAGTTCCATCATATCCACAGTGGTATGTTCCAGAGCCTCCATCAGTGATTGAGAGCTCAGAATAGCTTTTCTACATGGGATTAGGTTAACATATTGCAATTCGCAGCCTAATTAGGAATCTGAATATTCATTTGAATTATATTAATATAATATATTAGTATATTATATTAGTATATTATTATATTAATAATAAAAACACCTTTTGACTAAGGGCACTACTAGTTCTATGCATAATTTATTCTTAAAAACATTCACTGGAACTTTGGTTTGCTATATTCCTGCCTTCATTAAACTAATTTCCTTATTTCAGGATTCAGGATCATGCGGAATCTTTAGAGCATAAATATGCTCCTTCTTTGACAAAGAACGCAATATCTACAATATAGTCTCACTTTAAAAAAAAATTTCTTCCTTTCTGGATGCCATATATTGCATTCTTCATCACTGATGTCCTCTTTTCCTTGCTGCCTCATCTCTATCCAGCACATGCCCATCTTCAGATCTGGGAAGCCAGCTCGCATGATGTCATGCATGCAATTTTCAAAGAATGCAGTGGGGCAAATTAGGTGTTCATGTTGTCTTGTAGATGCTTCAGAAAACGGATTGGGCATAAATAAGCTTGGTTTTGAATTATAAACAGCCTTTCTTCCTAGGGGTTTCCTAATGAAGGGTTCATATTGCTCTTAGTTAGCACCTCCATGGTTTTAGAGATCTGTAATGATAGCTTTAAAGCAACTAGAGCCTCTAGTTAATGCTTTTTAACATAAAAGAGACCTGAGTGATCTTAAATTGGCAAGTTGCCTTTACCGGAAGGCATATAGACAGCAACTTATACATAGTATTCACCCATGTCTCATATTAAAGCCACATCTTTGGCCCTAATTCCTTGAATGGCATATTTTGGTATGACCTGCTGCTTTGAAAGCTTCCTGTCAGATTTTCCTCCTTCATCCATAATTACTCACTGTAGGAATTTAATGCTGCCTATAAAACCATCTCAGCCTTCAGGCCTAACTTTTGCCACCAGTTCTTATCCTATTGAGTTATATGGTTGGATCTTCAGCCGCCCTTGTTCCCTGCTGTAAAATAATCCATTCTCTGTAGGAAAAGCTCTGGAATTTCCTTATCTCTGGTTGAAATTACTTCTGCTTGTAAACTTAGCTAAGATTCTCCTTGATAGCTTTTTGTTTTGTTTTGTTTTGTTTGAAGGGGGAATTTTTCTGAAAAATGGAGAAGATAGTTGGTGCTATTCTCATGTACTTATTTCCCTGTTTATGCTAAAGCTTCTTGAGCATTTAACTCTTCCCCCACACGTGGCTACACTAATACAAAACAGGATCTGTTACAAAAAATATAATATTCCAAGAACAACTTAAAAGGCCCCACTGCAATGAAATGGTGATAAATACTATTGTTTGCATTCCATTCACCACTTTCTGGGGAGGGGGGAGAAAGTTGTTAAATTACTCTTATTAGTATAGCAGCTGTTGAACCCTTGCCATTCTTCTCATACATCTGGACTGTAGCTCCCGTGTAGCTTTTCTTTTCCTTCCTGTATAAAATCTTTTCCCTTTACCATGGATTTTCTTGCATTTTAAGGATGGATCTAAGCCTTCAATAAAAACTTGAGAAAAAAATGCACAAACAAGTTCTTATCTATATTGCAGGTAATCTTTAGGCCATTTGGAAAGAGGACCTGTCTTTCTTCATTTCTCTAGGAACTGTTGGCCTTAAATACAAATAGCTGGCCGTGAGTTTGTAGATCCTATTCCGGTTGGCCATGTCATCTAGGAATCCTGGACACTCCAGTCCTGATCTCTCTGAAAGTTGTAAGTTTAGGAGTAATTCTGGAAGAGCATAATATTCTTATTTCCTTTTTATCATAAAATAGAAGATGGTTAACAATCTTGTAGATTTAAATAATTTTGGCTCCATTGCAAGTCAAAACGAAATGCTCAGACTTTTGTCTGGTAATCTGATATTTCAGTGAACAGTCACAGCTTTCCTCAGTTTTGATATCTTTATGGTCTACTACAAGTAAGGCCAAGCTTTTGTGTCCAGAAAATATACCCCGAGAAGTTTTTCTGGAAAAGCATTCTTTTTTTATGTGCCTCGTTACTCACTTCAGTTTTACATGAATTTTATTTACATTAGCCATGTCAATAGATTTTATTGGCTAACAAGGCTTGTCTATTTTGAGAATTGTTTTCCTTTTCGTTCAAGCTCTGAAAAGCTGATTTTCTGTTAATAAAATATGTTCCGTGATCTCCAAAGATGCTGCACAGAGAAAATTTGAACATATTAACAGCTTCTTGAAAAATTAAGGTAATTTCTTGTGCCATCCTCGTTGGATTGTTTAATGATCCAGGTGTTCACTCTTAATTTCATCAAAACCAGATTTCAAATATTTTTTTAAAGAGGAAAGGGGAACTTCAACTTCAGAATTATGCAATTATAAACAAAACAAGAGGTCAATGTAAAACACCTTTCTTTTTTAACGATTTGTTACAATGACTACTTTTGGCCCTTGTTTTTATGTAGGAATGCCAAGTACTATCTGAGAACTCCCAAAGACTTGCAATAGCTAAAGAAACAAAAAGTACAGCAAAATAGATGTATCATCAAATACCATTTGTTTAATGTGGGGAAGAATTAAAGGTGGCTGGGAATATATAGACATCCACATTCATCAGTAGTATTGAACATCTGTTTCTTCTATCAATTCTAATATATTCTGTCAGGAAAATTTCTATATCTGAACATAAAATAAACTTCTAATCTCATATGAGTAGATCGCCATAGCATAGAATCCTGGAGTGATTTTATGGAAATAGGATACATTTTTGTCACAATTATTGGAATCCGAGAGGTGCTATTTCTGCAATAGAAGTGAAAGCAGATTGCTGCATATCGAATATATTCTCCTTTGGAAAAGGTGACAGAGCAGAGAAATTGGGCAGTGGGTGGTTTGGGGCTGCCAAAGTTACCAAGACAAATTTTTCTCTTGCCAAACACTCAATCTTTATCAGTGCAACCGGTGCTGCTTTTGTAATAAACGTTTTTTACTTTTTTTCCATTTATAAAGGAAGCTGTTACCTTCTGAACAAAATGGCTGTCTGTCGACATTTTTTTTAAACAAGAGAATAAAAGCATTTCCGAACTTTTTAGTGTCAAAAGCGTTAAACATAAGAATACTGATTTTTTTTCCAGTGCGTGTGGTGAGTGCTGTAACCCTGTCATCATTGGTATTCTTAAAATCTTTCAGGGTTTGTTTTTGTTTTTTTAAATTTTATTTTTCTGTTTTGTTCTCTGCTTGTCAATTTACTGTCTGTGTGATCCTCTGGCTGGGGCAGTTACTGACTGTGTGTCTATTGTCTGATTTTAAATTTTAAAAAAGGTAGAGTAGAAATTGAAAAGTTGTACTTTAAAAATATAAACACTAAATGTATTGTCCAAAGGAATTCAAATATGAATCGGCAAAGTTGTGAACTCCTCTTTTTACAGTTATCTTAAGCCAGGGGTCCCCAAACTTGACAACTTTAAGACTAGTGGAATTTACCTCCCATCATTCTCCAGCCAGCGTTGCCAAGTTTGGAGACCTCTGTCTTAGGCAGTTCCCAATCTTGTTCATTTTAAGCATGGCTGGTTGGGGAATTCTGGAAGTTGAAAGTACTTAAAATTGGCAAGATTGGGAAATTCTGGTTTAAGGAAACAGATGACTTAGGTTCAAGATACCTTTTAGTTGCCTTTTGTCAGTCTTGAGGAAGACCAGACCAGTGTGGCCTTCACAGGAACATCACTAACTCTTGATTTCCTCACTATATCATATGGTAATACATGGAGTCCCTTTACAAGAGAAAAATAAATTAGTCCTGCAATTGTATTTTTTTTCAAGTTTCTTATTTTTTTTAGTAGTGCAAATTTAAATTGAAGGGATGCATGGAAGTTGGCATTCATACTCTGAATTTTTTTACACATAACTTAAATTATATTTCCAATGCCTCTGCCAAGAGTTCAATTGTTTCTTTGAAAATATAATCTTAAAGGGCTTGTCATTGTGGTAGAAGATTTCTACTACTGCTCCAGGGTTTGGCTAACATAAATATGCATAGCATAATTAGATTTATTATTGCTGCTAATCATATCTTAAACATGAATGTACTTTCAAACATTCTGAACCTGGTTAGTTTGGGGAATACCTTTCACCTTTTCCATTTGAAATAACCAGTGTTTCAGCAGAGATGTATCTGAATTACTATCAAGTGTTTCCTGTCAGAAAAAGAACACTGAATTTATTGCAGATGGTTTGTAATTTCACCCTTGGGACATTCTTATTAATGCTGCATCTTAAAGGTTTGAGCCAAGTTTAATTCATAATTGCCTTTAGGTTTTTTTTTCCATCTGTTTTTGACTTAGATGAAATAATGCATCTTTCAGGCATTCACCAAATAAACTAAATTTGTCTTGAGCATCTCCTTAAATACAAACAGCTCATAAGCTTGACTTACCTATAGTAGCAGTCACATTACTGATGGCTTGTACCTATTATTTTAAGGATAGTTCAAGCGAATGAGATGCAGTTGCTCCTATAACTTGAAATGCATGCTGTTAATTCATCCCTGCCAAAATAGTTGATTATTTTCATCAGACTTAGTTTATGATGAATTTAGAACACTAAGTTCTGTTTTATCAAATTAATCACAAAGATAGTATAGTAGGCTGTCAGAAGGGTGAAAAATTGTGGGATGGCTCCCCCATGTTTATGTACTGCAGATGGGTATAGTAAAGATGAGATTTTATTTTTTTGTCTACTTGGAAAGTGATGTGTTGCACTTTAATAGAGGAGGAGACAACTTTTGCATATATAGTCTGACATACGTTGAGTTCCTTTTGGAAGGACTAGCAGTGGGAGATAATAGATGTCTGTAATACAAGTGCATATGCTGCCTTCAACATATATGTGTTTAATTGATGGAGTCATGTTACTGACAAGATAATGAATTGCAAAGAAATTGTGTTATATATTCAACTTTGCCTTGATAATATAAACATTTTTTTGTTCAGTTGTTTCTTTTTTATTAACAAAGTTCATGAGGAGATTATAAACTTGTTTAAAAATTAAGTGTTATGTCCTTTTTTATATATATATATAAAAAACCTTCATACAGTAAATTTTAAGATCTCCTATTCCAAGAGTGAAATGTTCAAAGTGATGAATCTTCTGATGTCACACTCCTTACAATACCTCAGATGTGGTTATTACACAGAAGATGTATAGATTTGGTGGGAACCATGTTGGGAAAGAATTGGGGACCAGCATTTCTCCACTTTGGTACTTAAGGCATGTTGATTATACCAGTGCTTAACCATAGATGACACGCTGATCCTTATATGTTTTTTCTGTTGGATGGAATTGGCTTGTCTTTTTAGCACAACAAAGAACACACTCATCTATATATCTTTATGAATATAGTCTTTACAACACATTCTGGTTCTCACAGTCAATTTTCTTCACCACCCAAAGCAATGATATCTCTCCACTTCTGGTGCCCATCACACATCTATCTACGTTGTGATAGTTGCCCCCCCAAAAAGTCATTTTTCTACACAATTCTAGCCAGGGGAAATTTCATGGGGCCTAAGATTGTGGCTTAACCCCCGTTGCTATTGACTACATTACTCTAATAAACTGACTGTCAATTATGTCCTCACTTCATATACTAGAACAAAATTAGTCTCATTAGTCTAACGGCATAGCCATGGTTTCAGAAGACATTTTTCCATCCACACCAAACTATGGCACAAACACAGCTTGGCAATCTTTTCCTGCCAAGTTCACATAATGATTGTCCCCAGGTTGTTCAAGAATACATTTCAGCTCTTCTGGTTTGAGCTTCTTCAGCGACAGACCGAAACCTCGTCTCTGAGAGGCTTCGATCCGTGCTTGCTGCTGGAGCACCCCGAGCTGGCTGGTTTCAGGACTAAGCCACCCCGTAGAGGTGGTGAGGAGGAGGGAGACTGCCAGCAGGGTTGAGGAGAGCCGCATCTCTACTCCCCAGCTGGCCATTACTCCCTTTCCCGAAGGCGGTTGCAACAGTGGTCAGAAATGGCCACCACAAAGAAAAACTCAACCGGAAAAGTATGTGCAGGAGGAAGATAAGAAGAGAAAGTTTTGGTTGACCGGGTTAAACAGCAAAAGCAACAAATAAGGTACCCTGGAATTGAAACTGTTAAAAAACAATAACATTGTTCCCTAAGAAGAATTTTAAGCTGCAAAGGAGAGAGGAAAGGGAAAAATTTGGTTTTCTCCTTTTCCTATACTGACAGCTAAGAGACTTAAGCAAGAAATTAGAAAAAAATCCACTTTGACATCAATAGGTATTTAATGCTGAAAATAAAAAGTCAAAGGGATAATAAAGATTTCTGGATAATTAAAAGCTTTTGAAAACAGGAAAGGAGATAAAAGGGCAGGATCTGGAAGGGAGAAGACTGCCTGGAATTAAAAAAGAACTTACAGCAAAATCTCAACAAGACTTCCAAAAGATACATTCTAACTGAAATATCGCAACAAAAACCCCAGGAAGAGAAAGTCGAAAAAGAAATAAGATATAACTCGGGACTATCTGGATTACTTGATGATTTCTGGATTCTTGGTTATTGTTTTGAATAACTAAAATCAATCGGGTGGTTGTTTAAATTTTTTTAAAATGGCTCCACTTTTAGAAGAACTGAAAATGGAACTTAAAAAGTACAAAGAAGATGCACAAGAAGGGAGAGGTTCTTTTGGCTTCGTATTTCAGTTTTTAGAAATGGAGATTTGGAATTATGAGAAACAACAAGAAATGCCTGAAGAACAAGAAGATTGCGACAAAGAAGAAGCCATCTTTAATGAACAAGTAATTTTAGGTGGGGGGAAAAAAGGAAAGGGGGGAAAGGGAATGGAAAGTTTAAGATTGGGAAAAACAACTCCCCAAAAAATTAGAGTGAAAAATAAGTATGAAATCAGAAAGCAACAGAAGAGGGAAATGCAGAAGAGAGAATTAGAAGTAGAGAGACAAGGGGAGGGAGAAGATGAGAGGGAAGAAAGAAAGGAAAAGAAGTTATAAAGGACAGAAGCAAAATATAGAGAAACGGGGTCTATTTAGAGATAATGGGTGAAAATTCAATGGAAAAGGGGATTCTGCAAAGGTACATAAGATAGTATGGTTATATTAGAAGCAGAAATAATTTTAGAAAATATGAAACAATGTATGATTAAAATGTCTGATAAAATAGCTATCGTAATTCAGTGGAATGCTTGTCAAATAAATGTAACAAAATGAATATTTAATGATTTATAAAATGTGAAGAGAAATAAGGGAAAAATTAATTATGGAGATTATATGTGTTTTTAAGGAAGTATGATATTTAATTGAAAAGAAGTGTTAAAGATGTTATGGCTTTAATGATTATTAATAATAGAACTGAACTGGAATGGAATGAGGGTTTATAATTACATATATTTACAATCTTTCTTTCTTTTTTAAAGAATATAGTGTGTATTATAAGAATGTGCCAAGCAGAATTCGATTGGAAGTTATGTATGATGTATTATATTGAAGGTCATAAAGTTAAGGTATATATTGAAGTTTAAATAAGAGTTGAATGGATGTAATTAAAAGATATAAAGGTGTCATACTGCAATTAGTAACTACAGGAGAAAATTTGTTTAATGAGAAAAGATAATATGAAATTGAAACAGAACAGACTAAAGTATAAATATAATGATTTGAATTGAGATGAGATAATCAAAATAAAATTGAGAAAATTAAAAGAGGGGAAAAACTATATAGAAAATGTAGAATAGTATAAGATATGGAATAGAACACAGAAAGGAGCATGAAATTGAGTTTTGTGTTTATATAAAAAAGTTCAACCCGGGACCATGCTATTTTCAAAAAAGATGTTTTACTTGTATTTTGTATGTGTGAAAACCCAAATAAAACTTTATTTTTTTTTAAAAAAGAATACATTTCAGCTCAGCAGTTTGAAAAGGCCCAAGTTATACAAAAATGTATAATGCTTGGCACTCACTATTTAGAATTGAGGTCTATTACAGATGGAAAATATTCTAAGTTGGCTTAGAGTTCTGATTTAATTCTAATTTGGACCCCTAATTAGGGATGTCTTGGGATGGAGGGGACATTAGGGGAAAGAGGAAAGAAACAGGCTGCATGCTGATTCTAAGGATTGAGAAACTTGTGTGGCAAAATTACACCTAAACTGTTTCTGGCACGCTTAACACCATTTTCCAGGAATTAAAAGGGATGGATGGCTGTGGCCAGGTTGGGCTAAGATGGCCACTCCGGCTAGGGAAAGAGCCATTCCTATGCCAATATAGAAGCCCTTTGCTATTCATTGCTCCTTCACCTTCAAGGCAACTTGAAAAGATTCCAGCACTAGAAGTATGTTGCCAATTACCCCTCCATTAACTTGTACAAGAAATGGGAAAGTAGCTGAAATCCACCACCATCACCCCAACTCCGCAAAAAAAAAGGGAAAAATCCAGATATTTTTTTTTATATGCTTGCACTGCTTTCCCCCACTTTAGGATTACATCTCCTCAATGATAAAAGATCTGGACCATTTTTAAAGTCAGTTTACTGAAATACACAGAGGTATTTTACAGCAAGAATGTGCAAACCAGTGTTCTCTAATGCAGAGGTCTCCAACCTTGGCAACTTTAAGAATTGTGGACTTCAACTCCCAGAATGCTGGGAAAGTTGGCTGAGGAATTCTGGGCATTGAAGTCTAGAAGTCTTAAAGTTGCCACAGTTGGAGACCCCTGCTCTAGTGGATGTTTTTGACCCCAACTGGAGATGGAGTCGATCGAGTGGTGGCTCTGATAGTGTTGCTGCTGCCAGGGTCACCCATCACTCTTAAGCGGTCTTGAACTTGTGCCATTCTGCAAATCATGAATATTCTTTGCATACTGATACAATTTATTACTGTTCCATGGTGTATTTTGGCTTTCTCTTTATTTGCCTTACTGTAACTGTCAAGATAATCAAGACAAACTAATTACACAGTGGCCTAGGGATCAGCAAAGGAGTCCTTCATTGAGTCTGAGAAACATAATACCCAAAGCAAGACAACCAATGTGTTATTATTTATCCAGCTGAGATGAATGCCGTTGTTCCCCAAGTTTTTTATGGGGGCGGGGAGAAATGGATGCTTTTAACAAATGTGTTTATAAATTGCCAGTGGATAGCAGCCCAGGAGGAACAGCTGTCTTCTCTCTCATAGTTCTTTAATCTTGGAAAGGGATGCAGTTTGGGAAAAAGGCCTACACTGGAAGAGGCTGTGTCCATTAAAACAGTTGTTACCCAAGTCAAATTCCACTTTTTGCCCCAACAACTTGACAGGACATCTGATTCCAAACACATTTACTGGAAAATAAAGTTCTTTTAGTTTAATAGGAGCTCCTTAACTGAAGGCTCCTTGACTTAATGGGAGCCACGCAATTTACTCCATTGCTCCATTTTGCACTGTTTTAGTCATTATTTTGTGCACAGTTCTGCCACTCTGTGTCTGCCTCTAAGAACAGGAATGCTGTGGTTATTTTGCATGTTAGCATTGCTTTACCCTTCAAAAAGACCAAAAAAAATCTGACCTCATTTTCAGTTCCATCCTATTATCAAAGTTTGATGACTAGGATTGGGAGATTACCATCATACTCCTTTT